AAGCCCCTGGTAAGCTTATGGACACTAAGCTCCCTTTCTGAAGATCCCCTGCATGCCCAGCAGATGGACGCCAGTGTGATGCTCGAGCACATACTCTAGGACGTGGCTGCCTTAAAGGTCTCCTATCTGTGAAATAAGAGTAACTCTCCACTTATCTAACAGAACTGCTGCAAGCATTGAATGAATATATATAAAGTACTTGCTATGTGATGACTGATACACACTAAATTAGAAATTAATAAAGATCTGCCTATTATATTAAAAATAGCCACTACAAAAGCAAACAGTTGTTTCAAACAGGCGGTGATTAAAAGGTCACTTTTTAAAAAATCACTTGCTTAGAACACTAATTCCACATTCCAGGAAATACTAGTCAGGCTTGTCATGATTCAACATAAATCCACTTGGCATAGTATGACTAAACCTCCCATCAATCTCCATGGAATAATGTATTTTTAAAATTATGATATAGGCAGAGGGATACACGCACACTCTTGTACACACACACACATTCAGTGACAACTACTTGTTTTTGACTATAAGACAAAAAATGATTATTTTTTAGATGAAAGGAAATCCTTTCTCTAGATGTGACTAGACTCTTCAGTAAGGACAGGAAAGGGGACAGACAGTACCTGAACCTGTGATCATAGGCTTCCACTGCTTGCTAATGGCCAAGGACTGGCAAGCAAGAATTTCACCGCAGCAGATGTGTGCATACAGATGTGTGCATTCCTGTATACAGAACCTTGATCTGGGTATAAACATGAGATCCACAAATATCAACCCCTAATACATTTAAAAATCAGGATCACTTTAGGATATTTGACTCCCATTTTCAGGAAGACTGAGAAATTTCAACGTTCCGTCACAGAGAAATTTAAAAGATACTATACAAGCCATGCTCATTTCCACTTCTCAGTCATCTCCCTGAGAAAGATGGCACAACTTACACTCTAACAGGAGACTTGATTGCTAGGGCAGCTATTGGACATTCTTTTATGAAGCCCAGTACTTCTACTGAAGTTTATATTCTTAGCCTTCTACAGCAGTGGCTCTCAACCTTCCAATGCTGCTACTTCTTAACTGGAATTTTGCTACTTTATGAATCATTATAAATATGTGTTTTCTGATGATCCTAGGAGACCCCTATGAAAGGACTGCTCACCCCCAATTGAAAGCTGCTGTTCTAGAAATTAAAAGTGTTTCATGAAAGCGCTATTTGCTTAGGACTTTTTGTTCAATCTGGATTAAACCATCCTGACTCATTTTACATCTCAATCTATGTAACTATGATGTGTAAAATGTATATTCACATCTCATTTCTCTAAGTTAAATAATTACACAGATTGAGTATAAAGTGAAGTGAAGTGAAATGTGAAATAAACACTGAACATAGCTCCTAACAAAATGGGTTCCTCACCTTAAAAAAAAATTGCCAAAGTCTTCTTACCAATCAAGAGCTTTTTGTTGATTTTATAACATCTGGCTCTTTTTCTGTTTTCTTTCAAAGCTTTCAAACATATATTATTTATTTTTCTATGTGTGTACACTTGCCTTGGTATGGCCTTGGAAGACAGAGGGCCAACTACGCATGGGGTCCTGTTTGCACCGTGAGGGTTCTAGGTCTCCAACTCAGATACTCAAGCTTGGCAGCAATCGCCTTTACCCCTAAATCTCAGCCTACCCCCCCCTTTTTTTAAAGATTTTATTTTGCTTTGAGACAAGGTCTTGACATGTAGGCCAGGCCATGCTCAAACTCACAATTCTCTTGCCTCCACTTTCGAGGACTCGGATTACAGGCACGCACCAGCACAGCTGGCTTCTCCATGTTTAACAGTCTTATTTTAAAAGCGGGTTGCTAAGTATAAAGAGAGGAACTATTCAGACTAGTAGGTGTGGTGGTGTACACCGGTAGATCCCAACACTGGGAAGGCAAAAGAACTCCTCCTCAAGTTTTAGGTTGACCAGCCAAATCTACAAAATGAGTTCCAGATCTACACACATTTAAAAAAAAAAGAAGAAATTATAAAAACTAATCAAAGTATTCTCCAAATAATAAGAAAAACCTAGCAGAGTTACCTAAAAAGAAGCATAAACCACAAGACGACAGTTGAGGGCACAGTCTGCCATCTTCACTCAGTCTAATTTTGACTTTCCTACAATTCCAAACTAAGAGGAGTAGCCTTTGTCCACATGTTCTGTGAAACAATACACTTCCCTTACCCTTTTGACCTTCTCAATTTATATTTGTAAGCTATTACTTAACTAAGCTCAAACATTTAAAAACATTGCATTATCAAATTGACAATGACTGATCATTTATAGAATTTCCAGTATAAAAATCTGACAAACATTTATAAAAGGATATGAAAGGGGAGAAAAATTACCTACTCGTGACTCTAAAGTGGTTCTCAACCTTCCGAATGCTGCTACCCTTTAATACAGTCCCTTATGCTGTGGTGACCCCCAACCATAAAATTATTTTTGTTGCAACTTCATAACTGTAATTTTGCTACTGTCATGAATCGAAATGTAAATATCTGTGTTTTTAGATGCTCTTAGGTGACCCCTGTGAAAGGGTCATTCAACACCCGAAAGGGGTCACAACCCACAAGTTGAGAACCACTGCTCTAAGTGCTTATAATCAAGCATACTGCTAAAAAAAATTTAAAGAAACTTACATGCTAAATGAAAATAGCAATGACCAAATAAGATTGCAAGCTTCAATACAGTTCTTCAATTTATCCAATAGTAAAATAAATCAGCTGCTTTAAAAACCTGGAAAAGCACTAGTGTAGTTTAGCACCAGGCCCTGAGCTGAAATCAAGCACCAAAACCAAATCTTTTTGCTTTTCAAGACAGGGTTTCTCTGTGTAGCCCTAGCTGTCCTGGAACTCACTCTGTAGACCAGGCTGGCCTCGAACTCAGATCCACCTTCCTCTGCCTCCGAAGTGTTGGGATTAAAGGCATGAGCCACCATAGGCAAGCTTCAAAAACAAATCTTAAAAATATTAAAAAGAATATCACATGACTGGTCTGGAGGCAGGGGTGAACAAAAAAGGAGTACCTCGATGTCATGTTACACACTATCCTCAACTAGTTTCAATGCAACTTTCACAACAGGATCATCACTAGGAGTATTTCGCCTCTGGCCCCACCACAGGCAGTAAGGCCCCATAAGAGCTCACAATGAACAAGTACAGACCATACTTTGTACAACTTTGTACTCTAAATCTCACTCCTTACCCCACCCTAAAAATATCAGCAGCTCTGTACTGACTCAGAACAGAATCTAAAGACTCTAAATTGAGGCTTTAACACAATCCAAGACTTAAATGTAACTGAAGTATCACATAACACACTGCTGTTTTATTGCTCAGGATCTTCTCAGTTTTGCCTCTATTACCCATATTTTCCCCTAACACTTGGTAGAGAAAGGTATAAGATTCAGTTAGATGTAGACATCAGAACCTGTCAGGAGAGTTTACTTAAAAAAGCTTCCCTCTTGTTCTTACATAACACGGATACTCTTATAGTCAGTTAATTTCACTAGCAATTTGTGAGGCAGTTTTGCAGACAACCAAATTGTCATGAAAATTGGTATCAATAAAGAACAAGTAAATCATGCCAAAAAAAGTTGCCTTGAATTCTGCCCAGATAAGTCCGTTTTGCAAACTAATCAAATTTCTTTAGTCTATAAGTGAATTTTTAAAAATTTCAAAATATCTGGCAAAGGTAGTCTACCAAGGTTTCTATGTCATAGGTTTCTTGTTGCTAGTCTACACCTTTAATCATCTGAGACCTTATCACACAGGTGTGACATTCCTTAAAAAAACCTGGGACGGATGGTCAGTGAGCCAGCTGCTGGCAAATCCAAACCATGACAAACACATATGACACCAACCACTCTTCTGCCTTCAGGGTAACTACCAACGTGCTGCTCGGTGAGCATCTTGCTTCAATCAATTTCAGAATAGAAATGCTTTAATTAAGAGGAAAGCAGTGCAGGGTAGGTGGGGGGGGAAGTCAAATGAAAAAGCAGTATTGAGGGGCCAGAGTTCAGCAAAGGCGCTTGAATCTCGATCCTCGGGACTCCAAACGCTGTCCTTTGACTTCCACACGCGAGCCACGGCACGCGCTGCAGTCCCCATGCTAATTTCCTTTTTCATTTAAGCAAAGGCAATCCTGAAAGTTTCTATTTCCAATATTAGTGTTCGCTGGCTATCTTCCGGAGTATCGAGTCGAGTCAGACCACAAGAATCTACCGAGTCGTCGGAGGCGTGCGCGCTGCGCCGGGGAGATGAATGAATGGAAGCCCGGCGCGTGTGAAAGGCAGGTCTGCGTCCAGCCGACCCGCGGCCGCGATCTGTAGGCCTCGCTCCTCCCCCTCCACTCCTCCATGACAGCCCCGTCCCGGTGTGGAGGGGCCCGGACAATGTGATCACCTTCACAGCGGCCCCCTTCGCCCAGCCCCGAGAGGTGCGCGGCGCGACCCCG